CTGTAACGCTAACTGCACGATAGTGTCAGTGTAGAGTTTGTTGTTTCTCAGAAAACCGTTTCCATAAGAGGTATACCTGACGATCTTGCATCGAAAGATATCTTTCTGTAAAATGCAGTGAGAAAAATTCTAGAGAGTCTATGCTTACGAGTCTCAGCTAACCGAGAATCACAAGCTAGTCGAATCAATCAGAACTCCTCTGGAAGAAATACGAAGGTTTATAGAATTTCATATTAGTATTTGACAAGTTTGATTCTCTCATCATCTATGAACAGTGTTTGGGACCCAAGGCCTTCGATTTCCGTACGAAGGAGCTTCTTCTTTTTTGATGGCAGGGTATTCGGTGAATTTTGCTGTTCTATTTTTAACTGAGCCTAAAGATGTGAATCTAATATTGCCTCAAATCAAGTTCAGCTCTTACCATTAGTGATTCCTCGAAGTCCCCTGCTGGAGATATAAAATTCTTTGGACTATAGGTTGCTGCTTCGGGTATCGCTACTTGTGCGAAGCCGGAATCCGGCATGCAAGTTACTCCGTGGTTAATTCCAAACAGTCCGCGAGAGCTGAAGCATGCACCACCTGGAATTATGTGAATTGAACAATATAAATTGAATTTAAAAATTTAAAATTAATAAAAACTATATGTAAATATATTATACTTACCTGAATCCCCTCTAGAACTTTGTCCATTTCCTAAGTAGAAGAGAGAAAAAATTAGTTGTAAGTTGTTAGCATTTTTATCTCAAAGTAAAGGAAAAAGAAACAATGATGATCAAGTATGGGCAACCACGAAATCAACGCAAATTACAGAAGAAAAAGAAGTTTCAAGTTTGCCTTCGCGTGTCGCGTCGCGTGCGTCCTTTGGAGCAAATGCTGATCTAGTCTATTGACAGCTTGATACCATCGTCATGTTATAGGCATGTATCATCGTATCTCTATCTACACCACTCTTTATAGCTTTCATTATTCCAGTTTTCATTGTTTATTTGATGTTTTTGGTAGTTTTGTTGTTTTTTAAAGTTTCACAACGGCTGTTCAGAAATATTTCATTAGTTCCTCAAGGCAACTCCAAAGGTTAGCTTCCCTCTGCAGATCTCCTATATTGTTTCTTAAGACATTCCTAATCAACAATCATTTCTTTCGTCAAGTTAACACGAAGATCATGTAATCCGATTGTTGCAATATCGATATCGTCAATAAAAATTTGTCCTCCAGACGGTTCATTTATTCTGAACAGAGCCAAAGCCAACGATGGGTCTATTGAAACACAACCGGGTGATTTTTCCGTTCCAATAATAAACATTTTTCAATCTCAAATTTCTTTTCTTTTTTTCCGTTTGATTGGATGTGCTTCGGTACACGTCTTATGGAAAAGTCTGCTGAGAAGCAATAAACTCTACACTGACATTGGCAGCACTATCGTCGATGATAACAGTTGTTGCATAATATGCAGGTTACGGCAAGGGAATTTTATGGCCTGGGGGCGTGCCCAACAAAATGATATAAATATCAAGCGAAGTTGAGAAATTGTTCAAAGGAGTTTTTGCAGTTTAAAAAAGGTATACCATACTTTTTTTGTTATTTTTTTGAAGATATATTTTCTCCTCAGATTTAGCCACCATGTCATCGGAATATTCGCAAATCCCTGAAGCTGTGCTAGAGAGACTTCAAATGGATATAGACAATGCTTCACTAAAACTTGAAGAGCACACATTCCAAACCCAGTCATATTCCGAGAGTCCTTTGGATTCTTTATCTTCATCACATGAAGAAACATATGGGAATGTAGGCGAGGAATCATGAGACCAGTTACTTCACTTACTCAAGGATATGAAACCTCTAACTATCGTGTAAAATGTAATAAAATAATGCATATTTTATTATTAGGCTTTAATAAAGCTCATTTTTTCCAGAAATAACAGACAAGAACCCTTTATTTTGATATCTTGAAAGAACAATACATTTTTAACTATTATCAATCACAACAGGTTATGGCCGGTGGAGAAATAGAGAAGAAATCGTATTTTGGTAAGACTCTTTTTCTCTAATAAGATAAGATAAAATGTAATAAGAATAATATAGAAGAAGCGATGACACCTTGAGCAAAACCCAACAAGAACCACAAATTTTTTGAATTGAACATTTGTTGAATTGGGGAGGTGACGTTTTCGTTCAGGATTTCGATATGAATATGAAAAGATATGAAATTTATCTATTTATCACAATAGCAACATTATTGGAATTGATTGTTCATTGGTTTTCCCTAGTAAAAACGAACATCGGGTGAACCTATAAGTATTATAATCTTTCCGACTCGACTTGAAGTCGACTTTCCGACATCTAAATAAAGTCGACTTGGCTACGATTCGACTCAAGTCAAGTCGATAAAAGTCGACTCTTGGTCAAGTCGGCACCCAAGTATAATAAGTATGCAAAATAAATGAGTCGGGAACAAGAGAATTTCGTTCAATTACTTCTAGTTCTATTAATTTACAATAAAACAAGTCACAAAACGTGCAGTACATATACGACAATCAGCGTTTACACACGTTTGAGGGCCACAAAATAATAAACGATGCTAAAAGTCACAAATGTCTCTTTTTCAATCGCAACATTTATTTCTACAATGCATTAAAATACATTAATTTAAAAAAATTTAGATGAAAAAAAACTTAGTATTTCACAAGCGTTCCATTAAAACAATCAATCAGAACTCCTCTGGAAGAAATACGAAGGTTTATAGAATTTCATATTAGTATTTGACAAGTTAGATCCTCTCATCATCTATGAACAATGTTTGGGACCCAAGGCCTTCGATTCCCGTGTGAAGAAGCTTCCTCTTTTTTGATGGCAGGGTTTTTGGTGAATTTTGGTGTTCTATTTGCAATTGAGCCTAAAAATGTAAATTTAATATCGCTTTAAATCAAATCCAATTCTTACCATAAGTGATTTCTCGAAGCGCACTGCGGAAGATATAATGTGCTGAGGACTGTAGGTGGCCGCCTCGGGTATCGCAAGATGTGTAAAGCCGAAATCTGGCATACAAGTGATACGCTAATTTCTGAGAGCCAGAAGTCATATCGCCGAATCCCGCCAGAAGAAACATTTCGGACTCTTCTCCTCGGACTAATCGTGGTGCTGTCTAAAAATAATTAACGTTAAACACTGAAAAACAGTAATAAATTACCTCAACAATGTTCTCCTTACTCCGGAGAAGTATGAAATCCAATTTCTCGTTGATATCAACGACTTTTACTTCATAGCCACTCTCACTGTCTTCATATTAATCAAGAACAGGAATATATATAATCTTGATCAACTGCTCGGTGTGTGTACGACCGAGTCTTAGTGTTACGCGTACAAGAATGAGAAATGTTTATCACGTCACGTCTACCACGTGGCGCGTGAGCGTCAGTCAGGGTTTGCTGGCTTGGGTGGCTCTGATGTTACCGCCGGATCCCTGAAAGTAGAGTTAAAGCCGTTTTTATGTTTCCCTGTTTCTTTTCCCCTCTTTCATCTCTACTCTTCCGACTATGGTCGAAACACTCACTAGGTTGATCCTGGGCCGTTGCAGGGAAAATCTTAATAGTGTTTCCGAGTTGTAGATGCGTCCCGTCACGGAATGTCACAAAATAGCGTGGATGAACGCAAGCAACAGTCAATTTTCCCGTCGAATCACTGGCATTAAACAACATGTAAAACATATTTTTAGTAACAATTTCAATATTACCGTCGGGATATGGACTGATCGGGCGTGCGTGTGTTGGCGTTGCAGGTCTAGAGGGCATTTTATCGGAATCCACTAAGAAGTGCATTTCTTTAAAGTTTTTCGGAATCAAAAATGCCGTACCCGCTTCGTTCATACTACATATATTGAAATAAATCAGAAATAATTAAAAATATGTCTTACTGGCATCCTTTCTGACAATCGTTAATTTCGTAGCTCAATGACACAACTGCATTCGAAGGTAGAAGAAACTGGCTTTTTATGGTGCTTTGAGTCAAAACATTTGTCAAATCTATTTCCACCTCCTTGTCTATCATCTTAATATGAATGGTACTAGCCATTTTGAGAATAATTCTGAAAAGAAAAAATTAGTTGTAAGTTGTTAGCATTTTTATCTCAAAGTAAAGGAAAAAGAAACAATGATGATCAAGTATGGGCAACCACGAAATCAA